GGGGATGGCCAAAGTGCGGATCCCCATCACGGCGGGCAATCAATGCACGCTCCCTTCTCCATCACCACAGCCAGAGTGGATTTCTTGTCGCCATGGAGAGGGCCTACCCCCGGGCTGGGCCTCAAGGTGGCTGTTCCGGTCGCCGAGCATGCGAACCCGTAAATGTACCGGCCAGCTAACCGGCCGGAACTAAACGAAAAGCCCCGCCTGCCTGCCCGTAGGGCCGATTTAGGACCCGCCGAAAACCCCAGGAAAACCCCACCACACAGACCGCCCCGAAGTGCCAACTGACAAATGCCCCACATCAACCCTCTACCAATCAACGCCGCTCGCCATTACCATGCGAATTGGCACATGCCCTTAGCTTCGTCAGCCATGTCGTGCTCTCCCTCGAGGCCCAAGCAGCTGCCCGCGCAGGCGCCATCTCCCACTGCACTGGACGCGCCTGGCGCCACTGCCACCGCCGCCGTCACCGCCACCGCCACTGCCAATGCCACTGGCTCTGCCCCCGAGCCCCGGTCCTGGGACAGGCTGCTGGCAACAGCCAACTGCCCGATTGACCGGTCGTTGGATTCGACTTCCGCCACCGAGGGCGAAGACAGCAGCCCGAATGGCAGCCCGTCATCGCCGCCGCCGCCGCCGCCGCCGCCGCCGCCACCGGTTCCGGGGGCCCTGGAGCGCGCCACCTCGCCCACGGGCCCCGGCAGGCGCACGCGCGAGCGCCGCATCAACCGCTGTTCCCCGGACCAGTGGAATGCCCTGGTCCGATGCTACGAAGAGAACCCCTTCCCGGACCGGAAGCGGCGCTTGGAAATCTCCGACGAGTTGGAACTCCCCATCAAGGTGGTCACATATTGGTTCCAGAACCGCCGGTCCAAGGGGTCCAAGCGGAGCGCCCTCCGGCCCATGGAGGAGGCCAAGCAAACCGCCCGGGCATCAGAGGTCCAAGAGAGCGACCTGGCTGCCGGTGCGCTGGGCCCCTCGCCCGAAGTCCGGGATGCCTTCTCCTGCCCGCCGGACATCATGACCCCGGTGTCGCTTGTTTCGTCGGTCGGACCGCCGCCTATGGTATGTGCCGCGCCCGAGTCGCAAAATGTCTTTCTTCCGAGTTGTGCCTGGCCCTGGTGGCTTCTCCTCGAGGCGATCCACTAATTCCCTCGTGTCCTGCATATGGGCCCCTCGCCGGCTGTGTGGTTTCCTTGCTTGTGCATCTGTCCCTCCTCGCAGAGCGTTGTCCCCCTTCGCCGGGCCAGCTTTTCCGGCGGCTACACCTACGAAAGCATGGCCTCCAGCCGACCGAGCACCCTGATCCCGGACCGGCCATCCGCCCTCGCCACCTCGCCGCAGCTCTTCCATGCCCCGGCCCATTTGGCGCCCTTCCCGGAATATATCCCGGCGGCCGGGCAGTTCAACAGCTACTATGGGCTGACGGGGTCGACACCCCCGGCCATTTCCACTTCCATGGTCTTGGCACCGGCTCCCCTGCCGGCGCATCTCCGGCCCTTCGGCCAAATCCGCCCCACCTCCCCAGAGGGCCCGTCCTCGTCGGAGGATGTCTCGGCCTCGGAGCCCGACCTCGCACACCGGCCCTCGAGCGGGAACATCAATCATCTGGATTCCGAGAGCCTCGACCTCCAGGGCATGTCTTACCCGGGAGCCACGCGGGCGGCGCCCCGTGCCGAGCATCATGAGCACTATTACCGGCAAATCAGGCCCTCGAGCAGTGGCGCCTACACGCAGTCAACTGCCGAGCTGGGCGCTCTGCCAGCCGGGGACACGCGTTCGCCCGGTGTTTCTAGCTCCGAGGATGCCCTTTCCTCGCCGGGCGCGCTGTCGCCCGAGTCGCAGATGCATGATGGTGAGCACCCCGAGCAGCCGCACTATGGCTGCATCATCACCGAGAGCACCGGGCCTCACATGTCCCACATGATTTCGGGGCAATTTTGCGGACCGGAAGCTCAGGCCACCACGGCCCACACGACTCCCTCGCCTCCGGCCGAGCCGTTCGACGGCTTCCCCACGCCCTCCTCGACGCCGGTCCGGCGGCTCGATGGTGTGCCCCACTCCGGGGGCAAGTCATGGGGCGTGCACATGTCGGGAGGCGCGCACGGTCAGCATGGGAGCTCCCTGCCTGGGGGGATCACCATGTCGCCGGTCAGTATTAGCGAGTCCAGTCCGGACCTGGGGGCGGCGGATGAGGCTGGCGCGATGCGGGTCGTGCGTGCGTCGCACTCCTCCCAGGTGCTGGCTGGCCGCAGTATCGGGTATTACCCGCATACTGGGGCGAATTTCCTCAGCCGCCGAAGCAACATGGTGCCGATTTCCCCCTCCCGGCCCGGGGTCTGCTCTTCGCCCCGGCGCTCGGGCGTGCTGTCGGCCCGGGAGCGCCGGTCCTCCACATGCCCGCCCTTGCCACCTATGACGGTGGCTGCTGCCGCTGCTGCTGCTGCTGCTGCTGCTGCTGCTGCTGCTGAAGCGGCGGCGACGGCCGCCGGCCGGGCCCCAGAGTCTCCGCCGCCGGCACCCTCGACCACCCCGGAGCCTGTGTCCCTGTCGGCCGTCAGCGCCGAGGCGCCTGCCTGCCGGTCGATTCTCTTCTCCCCCTCGGGCAAGGATTCCACGCAGACCCCCCACAGGGGGCCGATCTCCTTCGCTCCTCTGTCTCCCGGGCTCCAGATGGTCGGCTTGCGGCCTCTGGATGCGCCGGCCGGCCGGCCGCCGACCAATGGCTCCTCGTCGTCGGACGACGAGGAGGACATGGCCAATCTCCTTCGCCAGCAGAAGGACCAGCGCCCATGGCAATGGTGCCTGGAGCAGCAGCGCTTCGGGCCCCAGGCGCCGGGGGGCGCGCAGACCACCGGCACCGGGGTGCCAGCTCGACTCATGGACATCGATGCGCTGGAGCCCGGGGCCGAGGCCTCCTGCAGCGACGGCGGCAGCCCCCTCAGTGGGGGGACCCACGCGTTGCATTGCTCCGAGTCCAGTGGCTCCGAGTCACCTGGCCACCTGTCGGATTATTCGGATCCGGAAAGCGAGGGGTCCTTCCGGCGCGGCGCTGGCGGCCTGCAGGTGGCCTGCGTGTGCCCCACCGAGCCCGAGCTTCTGGCCATGGTCGGCGCCTGCCTCAGCAAGTGGTGCATTCAGAATGACCTCCCCTCGGGCCCGGACACTGCGGCCCCGGTGTTCAAGGACGGGCGCTTGTATGTGTCGGCTGCTCGCACGGATGCCGTGCTGAAGCTGGTCCAAAGCATGATGGGCGAAGAGGCCGGCATGGCCGAAGTGCCAGCCATGCAGACAAGCATCACTCAGGTGCCCATCATGCGCCCTCTCAGCAGCTGCTCCGGGGATGAGGCCCGGTCCGAGGCCGAAGTGGCTCAGTCATCGGGGCACTTTTCCCAGGTCGTCTTCATCGGCCGCTAAAGGGGAGCATCCGGCATATCGGGCCACAGCCCAGCTCAAGAGGCCCGCACATCCCCCCCCC